AAGCCTATAGCAGCATAACTATAGAAATAGCTCAGGATAACCTGATGTACTGTAAAATAAAGCATTAGCATCTTTTTATTTTTTACAGTCTTGATATAATGATTGTTCTGAGTCGCTCTGTCAGTTAAAGACATGATTTAAAGTCTCTAAAGTCCTGTTAACCATTCATTGATTACTAAATTAGTTGATGATTATTATTATAATAATAATTGATTAATCAGAATAATTGTTTCAGAATAATAATCTGTAATCTCCAGGTTGTGTGCAGGCCTGTGAATGGGGGATGATGATGTGTTTTCTCTCATTCCTGCTGCAGGTGCAGCAGCTGGACCGACCTCAGCCTGGATCCTCTGCTGCTGTGGTCCAGGAGGGCCCACCAGCCTCAAAGACAGCATGATCATCATCCCAGCTTTGAAGACGGGGATTAAAGGACCTCTGCAAAGCCCAAGTTAAAGGGATTTCCATTTTTCCAGGACTCATCTGTTGGCAGATGAACTTTTCTCACAGGGGAAACTTTAAAAGAAGCTTACTTGTAGAGGAACCAGCAGACAGAAGAACCTGGAGAGGAAAGAAATAAGGAAATCAGGAAATAAGGAAGAGCTCTGATATCTGGATCTCACAGGGACCCTCATCCATCCCAGCCTGGTTCTGTTAGTGCTGCCTGAAATGAGATAATTACCCTGCTAATGCTGCAGATCCTCACTGAGAGCAACGACTTAGCAGCAGCAGCAGCACGCGCATGGATGCTAATGGATGGTCTGCTGGAGTCGGCTCTGAGTGTTTTGGAAATCCAGCCGTTTCCTCTTGTTTGCCTGCCAATCAGCTCGGGGATGTAGCTGGCAGGTGGGGGGGTTTAAGTTGGCCACTGCGGGGGTTTGGGGATGCCCCGACACAGGCCTGCTAACAGACTGCTTGGCGCAGTAAACCGGGGTTACCCACGCTGTTTACATCTTTTTATCTATTTCTTTTTGTAAGAGTTTGTTTATTTGGCATAAAATATCCGTTTTTAAGCAAAGTGAATGCGGATGGCTAAGCTAGTCCATCCAGTCTGAAGGAGGATCCAGATAAAGGAGACCAGTCAGCCTCAAAGCATTCCTCTGTTTGTCCATCCTCTGGTTCTCGGTCCCAGGACAGCTCTACCTCTGCCTCCATGCCTCCATCTATTCTCTATATATCTACAGACCGATCCAGCTGAGGGAACCGTCGCTATAGAGCTGCTGATGACCAAAATACTTCGAGTTCCTCTGAATGAGAAAGCTTCTTATTGCTGTCGAACAGTTTGCTGATCCTCTCATCAAACTTGCAGACTAACCTCTTTGACGCCCTTTTAAAAAACAAAAAAAAACTAAATCTGTCCTGTGCTCATCAGAACCCCCCCCCCCACACACACACACCCACACACACACACACACACACCCTGGAATGAGCCTCAGTGAGCGATTCCCTGACATTGTTGATGAGCAGAAGCAGCGCTCCTAGCTGACGGTGATGCCCGGTAGCAGCAGTAAGAGCGGAGGGCGGGGCCCCTCCTCTTCCCCCCTCCCACATGCCGTGGTCCCGCCCAGCAGGCCCCTCAGACCTTCCCGCTACGTTCCAGTTTCAGCAGCCACCTTCTTCCTGGTCGGATCCACCACGCTGTTCTTCTGCTTCACGTAAGTCATGCTCAGTCACTGACACCCCCCATCCCCCACACGTTGCTGACCCTAACCAACACATGACTAACCCTGGACTAAACCAAATAACCAACTTAGCCCTAAACCCGTTAGCAAATTAGCTCATGAAGTCCAGGACAATGTTTCCAACAGCTGCTCCTCCATTCACTCCTAAAAAGCTAATTCAGGAATGTTGCTGTTAGTGATTACTGGATAACCAGAAATGATTCTGCTGACAGAGAAGACTACAGAGGCTACAGAGATATTCATTACAAACCTGAAAACTCCTGCTTAATGACAGTCACTGTGTGCTCTGCAGTTAACAAACACAGTGACAATCTAGCATAATGTTAAACCATCTAAGCTGCTATAGTGGGAATTCCACACATCAGTAATGTGATTTTGTTAAAAGCTGTCCTGCATAAACATACCGGTTGGTTAGACCTGGATATTCAGGATCAGCGGAGTCAGCGGGATCACGGTTGATCCGACCCCACCCAGCATCTCCCAGCTGCTCCTGGAGACGCCGGCCCAAATCAGAGTCCCTCCATCGGGTCAACTGTGAGCTAGATCCCGCTGACTCCGCTGAGATAGATACAGCACTGGGACTTGATCAACAGCCGATACCGCGCCGTGACGTCACAGTAGGTGGCAGTAGTGTTCTTTGACAAACATTACTTTAAATTAAAAAACACTTATCATTTATTGAACAGTATGGAATTATTTCATATTTAAAATACTTGCAGAAGTTTGAGTTTTGAATCTCAGTGAACTTTAAGTGCTGTTGTCGAGGCTCCATAGAGCCACATGTGGCTACAGAGCCGCAGGTTGTAACAAATCAAAGAAAACATCCATAGAAAGTGGAAGTAAAGGAAATGTGTGTGTTACTTATGAGCCGATTTCAGAACAAAACTAATACTGGTCAAAAGTACCGGCTGACTAAAGTTTTTTATTTTCAGATTCAGACGACGTTTTTCCCTTTAGTAGGTCAGCCTGAAAAACACCTCCAGAGGGAGGCGCACAGGAGGCAGGGTGATGAAAACCCTGAATCACTGGAACTGGCTCCTTCTCATGGGTTAAACCTGGGGTTTCCTGCTGCTCCAGCAGGGGGCAGCAGAGTGCTAACACCTCCATTCTGACTGGCTGTTTGCCTGAAAGATAAAGGCTAAAAGAGCATTGGTGGGAGAAAATCAGATGGAAAGGTGTGTGTGCATGCAGAGGTCTGCCTCTTTGCATGAAAGCGTGTGTGTGGGGGCGCTAATATGTGTGGTCAGTGTGGGGGGGCAGTTTGCTCTGTGCTTTGGATTAGGAAAGAGAAAATAGGCCAACATCTGTCACCCTGACAAAAGCCCATCGCCCAGCCTGCCATTACCCTGCCCCTCCTCTTCTCCTCGTTTATCCTCTCACAGGATGGATAAACATGGCGGTGTTTCACCCGGGGTCGAGAAAGTCCTGCTAATAGATCCTGTTTTGGAGAACTCTCATATTTCATCTGCTGGTTTTCTTTATCTTTCATTTCTTCTGCTCTTCATGCCCCCAACCCCCCCTTTCTTTGACTTTCTAACTTACTTCTGGAAACATGGAAAAAGCCTGGCAAAAAAGCACGTCTGAAAGAAACTTCCAACCTTGTTTCACCAGTGAAAATAAGACTTCTGCTAAAACCTTTAATTAGATAATAACGATAATAGAACTTTATTCATCTCACATTGGAGAAATTATCTCTGTATTTAACCCCTCCCCTTGGGGAGCAGTGGGCTGCCATTGTGCGGCGCCCAGGGAGCAGTGGGGGGTTAAGGGTCTTGCTCAGGGACCCAGAGTGGAGGCTGTGGGGATCAAAGCAGGTACTTGCAACCTTCTCAGAGCACAAACACACAGCTCTAACCACTAGACCAACCCTCCCCCTTCATTAAAGGACTTTCTAGTTCTATTTAAGGTAGTTTTGCAAACAGAGCTCCATCTTGTTAACATGTTGATGGATACTGCATGTGTGACTTCTGATCACTTTCTGTACATCAGAGCTTCAGAAAGGCCTTGATTTCACGCAGCAGCTTAAAGACCTTTAAAACCCTTACATCCACAGGCCTCAGCCCGTCTGTTCATCACCTCCTCTTTCAGGTGAGCCTCTGTTGGTTCCTGCACCGTGCAGTGCTCAGTCTTCATGTCCTCCATGATGCTCAGAGTGACTGCTGGTGATACTTCCTGATATGTAGGAAAGGTTGACTCTCACAGAGCAATACAGGCATTGATGTTGCAACAATATAATATAACACACAGGATCACTGATCTCTATTTGTTCCCTGGATCTCTGATTGCCCGTTGGTAGTACAGGGTTGAAATGAAGCCACCGGCCACCATATTGGTACTCCCTAGTTAGACTGGTCTCAGTATAAACAATACACTGCAGCATCGAACAACGATGATTATCTCATTTTCAGAGGGTCTTAAGACTTTTAAAATAAAGATAAATTAATCACTTTGACACTGGCTGCTTAATATCATCAGTAGATTACTGTAACTTATAATAAAATAATAGTCACATCACATTGCTTGGTCATTATGAAGCCTATAAATGATGTAATGTAACATATTATACAAATCCATCACAATAAAATGAATGTGTTAATGGTGTATAATAATACTAATGTGCCAAAACGGATGATGTACATGTTATATACATGTATAACACATATACATTATATATTTGTTTTTGTTTAGAAAACATGCAAATTGAAACGGACCAAAACAAGGCTTTGTTGGGCTACTGTATAAAACCTGGAACTAAATGCTAATTCTGACATTTTGAACTGTAAAAGCTTCCTGGATGGAAGAGAAACGTCTTCAAACAAAGTCCAGTGGATTGGCTTTTTTGAATGACTATGACCTGGATGACTCTTCACCAGCATCACACCTGAAAGCCTCGTCTCTCCAGTTCTTTTTCCTGAAAAGAGATCACTCTGGAAAAACTCTTTAAATAACACTTCATAGTGTAGCTTAGTTTGTTAGGATCTAATCTCATTGAGTATTAGTGTTGCAGCAATGCCAATTTGGCCCCGATACCCGATACCTGGCTGTGAAGTATCGGCCGATACCATCTGTTTGAAATCGATGTGTGTGTGTATATGAAGAACTGCAGACTACTTGGATGTAAAATAATTGCCATCATGGCTTCATGTCAAGCTGCTGCCTACCTTTGTGAAGCAGGAAAAACTCTAATGCAAAGTGAATCCAGTAGAACTTTTTATTGCCTACCTGGAATGGGTGACAATAGTTGAATAAACCTCCGGTTCTCAAAATGGTATCAGCGCCCTATTTGTTGCTATTGACAGCGATAGCACCATTTTAGTGTTGGATCGAGGCCCCGCCCATTACTGGTATCAGTGCAACACTATGGTGTATGCAGTACTCTTAATGCCAATTACAGGGATGGTGAGTTGAAAGAAGATAATGTTTTTGGTAGAAATATAATGGAGCCAGACTTTACAGGTGTGAGATTTTAGAGCTTCAGCATCATAGAAGGTACCTCTGACTGAAAAATAAATGCCAGATAAGCCGCCCAGCTCAGCGGCGTGCCTCAGTGCTCATTTTCTCTGCCTGCGGTGTGTTGGTGCTTCCACCTGATATCTGTCTGACGAGCCGCTGTCGGTGTTCCAGGTGTCCGTGGCTCTCGGAGCGCTTCTCTGTTGCCATTCCAATCTACAATGGAGTTATCTTTCTGTTTGTGTTGGCTAACTTCTGCATGGCCACATTCATGGACCCCGGCATCTTCCCAAGGGGTGAGTTTATAAAAGCATCAACTTATTGGTTTTTCTCCAGATAAATGTTTTTCAAATTGAAGCGGACTGTTTATTCAGACAATTCAGAGTCTAATCCACAGCGCCTGGTTGGATAGACGGTTTCTCGCTAAAGAAGTAGCTACCTATTTTAGTTGTGTAAATCATTCTGCTGCTGGTACAGAAGTGTGTGCTGACTGTAGTGAGATACTGATGAGGTATTTGCTGTGCGTGCAGCGGAAGAAGACGAGGACAAAGAGGATGACTTCCGTGCTCCGCTCTACAAGACGGTGGAGATCAGGGGGATCCAGGTCAGGATGAAATGGTGTTCAACCTGTCGCTTCTACAGACCCCCACGTTGCTCCCACTGCTCCGTCTGTGACAACTGTGTCGAGGTGCGTTCAAAGACACCGCCCCACAGCAGCTGTTTTCACACACAGCAGTGTTTGTCTAGCCCAATTAAAGTGGCAGCAGCCTCATGAGGAGACTCCCAGGGCAGGAAAATGTCCTGAAAGTGTTAACCTACAGTAACACCTCCTTTATTCCATGGTGCTGCTTTTATGGCTCTTCTGTTGATCAGGATGCTCCCCTGTCCTCTATCAGGGATTCTTAAAGACAAACTTTTATGTAAGACTTTCTGCAGGTCCGCCTCAGGACAGAACCTACAGAAAAGGTGGTTCACTGGGCCTGTCCCGTTCGGTACCGTCCCATCACAATCTGTCCCACCACGTCCCGTCCTGTCCCCTCCCGTTCTATACTGTTTCATTCTGTACTATCCCTTTCTGTCCTATTCTGTACCGTCCTGTTCTGTCCCGTCTCGTCTTGTACAGTCCTATCTCTTCCCGTCTTGTCCTCTCCCATTCTATACTGTTTCATTCTTTCTGTCCCGTCCAATCATGTTCTGTTCCCTTCTTTACTGTCCTGTTCTATACCGTCCAGTCCATCCTGTCCTCTTCTGTCCTGTCACGTTCTGGCACCATCCTATCCATCCTGTCGTGTCCTCTCCTGATCCCGTCTCATCCTGTAATGTCCAGGTTCTGTCCTGGCCATCATGGAAGGATCCATATTGAGTCTTTTCTCCTTGGAGCTCCAAACTCTCCCTCTCATCTTCCTGAATATGTTTCTACGGCCTGTGATGACCTCAGCTGATTAGGACAGGTTAACACCTGTCACATCTAGTAATCCTGTCCAAACATTCAGAAAGCATCAGAGGAGCAGACATTGACTGGCTGGCTGGCTCTCTGGGAGAGAATGGAGCTGAGGAAAGAAGCAGATTTTTCTTGGTTATATAAGAGTAGTTGACTGTGTTTTGTTTAGAATTGGTCAACTTGGAGCAGTAGAGCTACAGCCTGCTGGTTTTCCCTCTGCTGCTCAGTGAGCTGAACACGTAGAATAAGTTAGAATCCTGTTTCTGGTTGCAGGAGTTCGACCATCACTGTCCGTGGGTGAATAACTGCATCGGCAGGAGGAACTACCGCTACTTCTTCCTGTTCCTGCTGTCTCTGACGGCTCACATCATGGCCGTGTTTGGGTTCGGACTGCTCTTCATCCTCTACCACCAGAAGAACATCGACCACCTCCACGCCATCGTTACGTATCCTTTCAGCTCTATCTGGTTCTAGCAGAGATCCAGCGATCCCCCGCAGGCCTGCGCTGTGCAGACGTGCTCCTTGACTCCCGCTGCTCCCAGGCTGGCTGTAATGTGTGTGGCAGGCTTGTTCTTCATCCCTGTTGCTGGGCTCACTGGTTTCCATGTGGTGCTGGTGGCCAGAGGCAGAACAACCAACGAGCAGGTAGGAACCCCTGCCCCCTGATTCCATGCTAAGTGTTCAGTTTGGTGACGAGGTCTGAGAATGTCCCGTTCTTCATCATCTGCTCTCACTCCGCCGTCAGGTGACTGGAAAGTTCCGAGGGGGGGTGAATCCGTTCACCAATGGCTGTTGGAGGAATGTCTCTCATGTCCTCTGCAGCTCTCAGGCGCCCAGGTGAGTAAAATTTGAGGGACTGGATTGTTTCTATTCACAACATGAAAGTCAGGGAATCAGGGCGGAACATTTCCAAAATAATCGCAATAAAAAGATTTTAAAAAGTAAATCAGATGCTCCAAGTATTGGTCTTCCCCTTTAAACAGGGAAAAGACACTTCATCCATTTAGGTGGCGCTAGTTACTTAAAACAGGTTTGTGAAGAGAGATCCTCTCATTAGCTGCAGCTAGCCAGAGGATCTGGTTAAAGGACCAAGATTCATTATTTACAAGGAAAGAACGAAAAATTTTTTTCAGAAAATATAAAATAGACTTTATTGATCTCACAGTGGAGAAATTCACTTTTCACATCAGCTCAATAGTCATTAGTAAATGTTACTGAAGCATCTTAAAGCCAAACTGTATTGATGCTGCTTTGATTCTGTCTCACAGAATACTGACACCTGCTGGACATTTAAAGCCATTACAGGCAGCTGATTCGACAGACTAAACTGAATGGATTTGATGACCTAGAGCAATAATATCATTTAATTTATTTCAAGTTATACAGGGTTTCTGCGGGTCATTAAAAGTCATTAAATAATAATTTTTTTATTGATTTGGCATTAAAATTCATTAAATGTGATGATTTTGACATTAAAAATGCTTTATTTAGAAAAAAAAAGTTTATAAAAAAAATTTATTAAATAATATATATATTTGCAAATATATTGCGATATATTTGCACGGAACTGCTTCCGGTTGATCCGGAATGTTCAGACATGAAGCTCGCTGCGGAGAAAAGGCTAGAGAATGGGGAAAATGCTCATTTCAACAAAAGTGGCTGGAAATTGGGGAATTGCAGCCTGTCGACGGAAAAGATGAAGGAATTTGCCGTGTATATATGAGAGTCGTGGGTATTTGTTGATGGCTTTAAAATAATTTCTAAGAGCATTAAAAATCTTTAAATAAGAGTTAATCATTTCTCTATAAACCCTGTTATAATTTATTATTTTATTTCTATGTTTAAATTGAAAATATATTTGATATTTTTGGATGCAGCCAATAAATAATGTAAACATAAGGTGAACATTTAGGGGGAAATGTGAATGAGGAATCGGCGTGTTTGCTGGCTGTGCTTCTGCCTGGAGCCATCAGTGTGCTAATGCGTGCTGCTGTCTGTGCAGGTATCTGGGCAGGAAGGCGTGTGTGCAGAGCGTGAGCGTTCAACCTCCATTTCTGCGGCTGCAGCTCACCGAGGCTCAGCTGGCGGCCAAGATCCTGGACAACGGCATCCAGGGAGACATGCACAGGGTGAGACACTGCTGCTCTGTTAGCATTTAGAGCTCATCGCTGGTCCAACCCTTTCAGTCTCCTTCCTAACAGATGTTTTCCACGCATCACTTTAATGCTGTGGAAGAATCCGCCTTCAAATCATCAGTCGGACCTTTAAAGGCTAAACGATGAGATTTCCTCCGTTCGGTTCCTTGTTCTCATGTCCCCTCTGTCTTCCAGTCCAAGTCCAGCCTTGAGATGATGGAGAGTCAGTCGTGTGACGCTGAGCCCCCTCCTCCTCCCAAACCCGAGCTGCGTTACCCTGGAATCAGGAACATGGAAGGTAAGGGGATGAGGTCACCGCAGCCGCCTCTCCTCCTCAGACCGCCTCTGAAACGTCTCCGTTTCCTGCAGAGTGCAGCCTGCTGAACAAAGCCCCTCCCACCCCCACCATGTACAAGTACAGGCCCACCTACAGCCCGGGGAAGAACCACGCCACGCTCACCCATGCTTACGCCAACCAGGTAAGGCTCAGGGCTGCAGGCGGAACCGGTTTCTGCTTCCTCGTTCCATCAGTCTAACACGGCTCCGTTTTCTCCTCTGATCTCCTCTTGCCTCCTTGGTTTGGTAACTCAGTGGCTTTCTTTTGATCAGTTTCAGTAAGTGATTATTTTAAGAACCCCCCCTCCCTTTCTGTTTGATCCAAACATGGAGTCCTAGCTCATCTAGCCTCATCGTTAATGGCTGTATCTGTGCTCATGTCTGATCCGGATCCTCCTGACTTCCCAGCAGTAACCAGAAGAAAGGACCTTCCTTCACCTACCATAGTCTTCCTCTCTGTTAGAGCGGCCTCCTATCATTGGTTTATGACGTCCTCCTAACTACCTTCATCCTCTCCATCCATGTGTGCTGCTCTCTTCCTCTGCAGACTGTTTGCTTTCTAATAAATCCCCTGAACTCATCGATATAAAGACGCTGAGCTGAGCCTCCATCAGGGAAGCGCTACGGCTGGGCCTTATGAAGAAACTCTAATATAACCCTATAGTTGGGCTATATCGCCATACACCATATATACCACAATGTGTTTAAATTACCTTCAAATCAATAAAGTGCATAAAATTGCACTGATATACTCATTCAAACTTTTGGTTTACAATAGAATTTTATTTTAACCAGCTCAAAGCTTTTCACTAATAATTCTGCCACATTCTGTCATTGTGTGTCAGTATTGGACCTTTAATAAGGTCCCAGCAACAAAACAGGAAACACAGCAAAAACATGTAATGCTAATTAGAATGCAAAATATAAAGGGCTCTTTTGTGCATAATAAAAAAATGCAGCATGAAAAAAGAAATGGACCTAAAATTATGGAAATAATTGGGGCATTTTCAGAGCTTCTCCAAACTATCTTTATCTGCTTGGAAGCACAAAAAGTTAACTACCGGTACAAGCATGCTTAGTGTGAGGGATTGCTGAAGAGTCAATGAGTCGATGCAATCAGCTGGTTTTCCTTAGATAGAAAACTGAATCAATCTGACTGGATGATCTGGTGAACTGGAAAGTGCCTTGAGTTGATATGATGTGAATTAGAGCTATAGAATTATTTCGAATTGAATAGAATATACTCGATGTACATGTCATCTCAAGGCACTTTCCAGTTCACCAGATCATCCAGTCACATTGAATCCAAGTTTTCTATCTAAGAAAAACCAGCTGATTGCATCGACTCATTGACTCTTCAGCAATCCCTCACACTAAGCATGCTTGTAGAGACAGTGGAGAGGAAAACCTCCCTCTGAACAGGAGGAAACCTCCAGCAGAACCAGGCTCAGTGTGAGCGGCCATAAACCATAAGTAAAAAATTAATTTGAAAAAATGTGTCATGAATTTATGGAGTAAATCATTAAAAACATAAAGTTTATGTTTTCTTCTTCATGTTTTCTGCCAGTAATAACGTCTGGTCAATCATGTGACTCTTATGATGCAAGTCCATCAAGAACCTGCCCCTTATTTGTTTTAATTAGTGCTTTTTTTATGGAGAATTTTTTTCCTGAATTATGCAGCTAATCTGACACTTCAAGGTCATTTTTTTTTCTCAAACTGAGACTTCTGATCATCTGTGCGTAGAGATTAGTCTCAGATTAACTCCAATCAGAAACCCAGGTGTTGATGGAGTCATGTTTTGGTTCTGGTCACATTTTCTCCCTCATGAGGAAAAGATTCTAAGTTCTGACGCTACTTTTTATTGATTTCAGCTTCCCATGTAGGAACCAAACAGCTCAGTTTGTTCTTATTGAGTCTGGAGAAAACGGCAGATTCTAGAAGAATGGGAAGAATGAGGGAGAAACCATTTTGTCTTTAAATTATGGACGTTTAATCCCACTGAGTTTAGTGTTCTGTCAGATCAGCATAACTCATCAGACCAGCATACCATAGTCGATACTCGCTGATCCCTTTAGTTTATCCCTTTAGTTTCGTACAAAAAACTATTTAATTACTTCCTTTTTGTTTTTTTAAGCCTGTGGGGATCTGACCTCAAATTGTTTGGGGGTTTTGTACATGACTAAAGGGAAAAACGCCCACTGAGGTAGGTTAG